AATATGGTAAATCCATTAGGCTGGTGAGATTTTTTTTTATATTTAAAATATATTTTATTATGGAAATGTTCAAACATACAGTAGAGATAATAATTTGAATTCTCATTTACCCATCACTCCGTAAAGAGGCATTTGATACTAGGTCATGTATTCATAGTCTTCGTAACCATCATTTTAAAAGGCTGCACAGAACACAAAAAAAATTACCCTATTAGCCAATTTATTTTCCAAAAAAATACATAGTTTTTATTTTGACATTTATTGCTTAACTTTTTATTTTGAAATAGTTCTTATTTACAGAAAAGTTAGAAACCTGGTACAGGGAGTTGCATGTATTGCATGTACCCTTCACCCAGCTTCTCCTGATGTGGCTGTGGTTAGTTGCTGCTGAGTGGTTTCTGACTCATGGCCACCCCATGAGTTCAGAGTAGAACTGTTCTGAGGGTTTTCACGAATGCAACCTTTTGGAAGCATATGGCCAGACCTATCTTCCGAGGTATCTCTGGGTAGGTTCAAACCCCCTGCCTTTCAGGTTAATAGTCAGATGCCTAACCATTTACACTCCTTCTCCTGATATTACCATCTTACATAACTATGGTACAATAATCAAAACTAACAAGAAATTACTATAAAGTAAACTGTAAACTTTATTTAGATTTCACCAATTTTTCTAATAGTGTTCTTTTTCTGTTCCAGGATCCACATTTAGGTGTCAGTGACATTTGTTTGTGTTGTAATTGATGTTCATCCTTCCATATTGTATTCAGCTATATTCAGTAATACTAGTGCTACTTAGGTACTTAGCAAAATGCTTCCTTATCTCCTTTGTGAAGGAAATATCACTTCTCTATATATGAACCTTATTTCTTACTATTTTTCTGAACATTTCATTGTGGTTTGGGTAAAAGTTTACAGAGCAAAATCGTTTCCTATTCAACAATTTATACACATTTGGTGACACTGGTTACAATGCCCTCAATCTAACAACACTCTTCCCATTTCCCACTTCCTCCCTGGGTTCCCCGATTCTATTAGCCTATCTTTTCTGCTTTTTCTGAACTTTGTTGTGGTGCAAAGGCTACCCTTTTGGTATGGTCCATTGTTCTGAGGATCACTTTCCTTGCAGGTATCACTGTTGACTTTATAGGTCTCTCTATTATTTGGCTGAAAGGTGATCCCTGGCAGTGGGTTCAGTTCCAGGTTTGAAGGGTATGTAAGGGCCATAATCTCAGAGGTTCCAGCAGTCTCTATCAAACCAGTAAGTCTGGTCTTTTTTATGATTCTGAATTTTATTCTACATTTTTCTCCCACTCTGTCTAGAACCTTCTATTGTGATCCCCATCAGAGTGGCCGGCATTGTGTGTGAACCTTATTTTTAAAAAAGAAAAAAAAAAACATACTAGCTACGAGAACAAGTTACTTCATTCCTCCATGCCTCAGTTTTTTTGGTGGCAACAGTAACAGCTACCTTTGATTAATAATACTACCACCAATAGCTAGTATTGGAGGCTATTGCTAGCTTAATCTGTTGTTCCTTTTAACAGTCATTCCTGAAAGGTACTATATCCCCATTTTATTATTGGAAAAATTGAGGCTATAAGAGGTTAAGTGACTTGTTGAAGGTTATATAGGTAGTAGTGCCTAAGGCACTTGACTGCTAACCAGAAGGCTGGAGGTTCAAACCCACCAGCCACCCCTTGGAAGAAAGATGGGGCAATCTACTTCCATAGTGATACCGCCCCAGAAACCCAAGGAGGGGTCACTATGAGTTGGGTCCGACTTGACGGCATATAACAACAACAGTACTCTTACTGTTTATTAAAAAATAAAATATTTAATTTAATGAAATTTAGGACTGTTATGCTCTGATTCCCAAAGTTAAGCCACGGACAATGCTCAAGTCTTTGATGTTGACTGTTTACCAAGTATCACTTTAAAAAATAAATAACTATGGTATCAGTAAATATTTACTGCTCCCATATTATGTATAGGGGTCATGGTAGGCACTGGAGGAGATGATATAATGGTTCAAGATGGCAAGCTAAAAGCAGTCCAAGGCAGTATGTGATAGATACCAGTGAGTTCTCTATGTGAAGGCTTCGATAGAAGATTGGAGAGCTGAGGGGTCACTTTACATGGGGGGGGGGCAGAGTGGGGGAGGGAACTTTACTGAGGAAATGAAATTTGAATGAACCTTTTTGAATGGATAAAATTTGGATAGGTTGAGAGGAGTGAAAAGGACAAATTTTGTATGTTGAAGTTAATATAATAGATTTCTGCTTCTGGTAGTTTGTGTAGCATCATCAAACCTATTAGTATTATTTCCTTAATTTTTTAAGTGAGGACACTGAAGTACAGTAAACTTAAAAATTTTCCCAAGGTCATGCAGTTAATTAGTAATAAATAGAGCCTGGTTTTGGATTCGAGTTTGTTTGACACCAAAGCCCATGTTCACCATTATATTCCACATTGTTTGATTAGCAATGAAATCTAAATTTTAATATAAGTTTAGTAACAGATACTTTCTTAGATGTTTATCCAGTGTTCACTCAAAACTTAATCTCTACCATAAGGAATTGCGCTAAGACCAGGATAATACTCTTCTCTCTATAATGGTACTTTTTAAGAGAGGTGTCAATTATGAATACACTTTGGAAAGACATTGATAAAGAGTAGTGTGTTTCTGGTGCTGCTGTGTAGACACCTAATTAGAAGTCAATATTGCAAGCATAATGACCTGGCCTGTTGCTGAACTGACTGCCCAGGTGACACAGAGTCCCCAGGTAATAACAAAAGATAAGAGTACTGTTTGCCTGCCCAGTACTGCATAGTCACAGTGTTTACATTAGCACACAAATTCTGAAGTAGATTCTTCAGAGCTTGTTTCTAAGCTGTTTAGGGCCTAGATAGTTAAGGTTAATATATCATAAAATTTGTTGTAAAGCCCAATCTTCGTAACTACCACAAGTTCATTTAGACAAAAGTAGAAAGGAAATAGCTTTTCCTTCCTGTAAAACAAAAGAGGTGTTGGGTTAGAGATGTACATGAGAAAGCAGGTGAAATAGTCTCCCCTTTCAGGCCATATATTAACCAGCTTCTTAAAAACCACAACCAAAATTATTCTAATACTTGGAATTGCTCTATGCTGTTTTTTGGTTGATCTATTTTTCCTCCATTTCTGTGTCTTTAATGAGCAGACAGAATAATATCTTATCTCAGGTGATGATTGGATTTTTTTCCATGTATTATATCCATTTTGATTTGTTTTTGACCAATAGTATGATGTATTAAATAGCTTATATTTATCTGTGGATATTTCATATATATATTTCTTAATGCTGAGAATCACAAATAGCTGTGTGGAAAGCTTCAACCAACCTGATTACAGTGGATGTGCAATTGGATTGAGGAATGTGTACTCAGAGCTTATGATCACTGGCCCGGTTGAGTCTGGGTGATGCAGTGGCTTTCCAGGGATGCTGCTATTTACATCTGTTAATGGCCCTTCTTGATGGCCGGCTCCCCAATGAGGTGATAGGCAGCAGCCTGGGGATAAAGGACCAAGGCTGCAGATGTTGCTGGGCTCCATTAGGCAGGACCAAGAATTCTCATCTGGAAGGCTTTGTGTTTTGGGGTGAGTAGCAGGGGAGGGAGACAGACAGAAAGGGGAAAAAAAGAGAATGGAAAACATTACTTATCCAGGTATAGCAGAAACAGACAGGCAGACATGAAAAACTGCAGATGTAACTGGTTGTGTGAATGAATAGAAAAGAAATGGAACTAGCAAATAAACAAGTGAAAGGATTGGCTGGTTCTCATATCCAAAACTAAACCCATTGCCATCGAGTCGTTTCTGACTCAACAGTGACCCTATAGGACAGAGTAGAAACACCACATTGGGTTTCCAAGGCTATAAATCCTTAAGGAAGCAGACTGCTACATCTTTCTCCTGTGAAGTGGCTGGTGGGTTCAGACTTTTGGCTCACGCTCAAGTGTTTTAACCACTGCATCTCCAAGGCTTCTCTAGTGCTCATGTAGAAGGGAATTAAGAGGAGAATGCTTTGAGGGTTTGGGAAGAGACATGTCACCCCTGCCTTTAAGTCAGTATCATTTATTTATGTGGGCTGGACAGATGCTACTGAACAAAGAATAGAAATTTACATATAACACTGTGCAGCAAGAGACTAGTTCCTTGCATCCTTTGGTTTTCTGGTGCTGGAAGAAAGCAGCATGAGCTGCTCAAAGGGTGTGACATTGAGCTGTAGAGCATCCTTGTAGAAAAGGAAGATACCTAAAGCAAGCTAGTAAAGAATTTTTCTATTACTCCTATTAAATCCTGGCAGATAATAAAAAGACCCAGGCTCACACATGTTGCATAATCCAAAAGAGGTTATCCTCTTTCTGCTCCCTTCTCATACTGGGAGGTTTTCTTGGAAGGAATCTCACAAAAGATGACAATAGTGTCTGAGTAGAGAGGGTAGAAAGATGGAGTTCTATCTAGATTTAAGTGCCAGCATCATAGCATTCTCCCACACATCTCTTGAGTTCATTTAGACATTGGTTTTCCTATCTTCACTGAGCAAAGAAGGAATTGAGACAACTGAAATACTTAGCAAACAGGCTGCTCACAACATAATCTAGAGAAATTTGCTAAAATGTTTTTAATTTCCCACAAGGGCTTTGGCTCTGTAACCGACTGCCGTCGAGTCAGGTCTGACTCATAGCGACCCCTCCCTTGGGTTTCTGAGGCGGTATTACTACAGGAGTGGATTTCCCAACCTTCCTTCCAGGGAGTGGCTGGTGGATTTGAACCATCAGCCTTTGGGTTAGCAGTCAGATGCCTTAGGCACTACGCCACCAGAGCTCAATGTATATTTTTACATGAAGGCTTTGTCTAGGTACAGTGTGATACTCTCAAGGAACGCCCCCCCCCAAAAAAAAAAATTACATATAAGAAGGTTGTATTTATTCATTCATTTGTTTTGTTTATACCTTTGCAGATTGGCATGGTAGCTTGGAAGATGACCCTTAAAAGTCCTGAATATCCAGAAGGTCGCGATATCATTGTTATTGGCAATGACATCACATATCGAATTGGGTCCTTTGGGCCCCAGGAGGATTTGCTGTTTCTCAGAGCTTCTGAGCTTGCCAGGGCAGAAGGTATCCCACGTATCTATGTAGCAGCCAACAGTGGGGCAAGAATTGGGCTGGCAGAGGAAATTCGTCACATGTTTCACGTGGCCTGGGTAGATCCTGAGGATCCTTACAAGGTACATACTAAGAAAATATACTTCAAGACACTATATGGCTATGCACATGTATGTGTATATGTCAGCTACACTTGGAAGGTGGAGGAGGGATGGGGGGATAAGTTTAAAAGTCAGTACTTAAAATGAAAATTAAAAATAATCAAAATTATGAAAATTCCTTAAGAAGTAATTAGTTCCTTCACATCAGAGACACATTGTCTCTCAATATGTTCTCCTAGTGTTTCCTCCAGCTTTGAAACAGATTGCTGTTTGGTTGATCTGTCCTCTAGCTTACTAAATAAGTATGCTAAGTAATCATAAGTATGCATTTAACATGGGTCATGTTAAACCAAAAATATGTATTTTTAAACCTTTCATCATAGCTTCTGGAATTTATGGTCGGTTACCAGCAAGATCCCTTGTAGCCTCAGCTTCTGTGATTGTTCTCCAGCATTCTTGGTGTACTTGAAACCTGTCTCTTCCATAAAGACACTACTTTCCCTGTAGCTCTCTTAAATAATGACTGGTTTTTCTGTTTTTCTTGTCCCTCTGATCCTGGAGATAGGATGGTAATGTTTTCTTCTTCCTCGTTTCTGCTTTTGAGCCCTTTTCCCTCCCTTCTCCCTGAATACCCCCATCTTTGATTCGCATACCATGCCACCACTGCTCCTGATTGTATTATTTGGTCACTTCCCTTCATTCTCTGCAAATTTTAGTTGCTAGTTCACTGCCACTCTCTCTAATACTACCAGTCTTGGTATAATTCTTGGTGATTGCTATATCCACATTGCCAAAGGAAAGGGCCAGGGAGGCCATATCTTCTGATCTTCTCTAACCCCACAAAAGGAAGACAGAATCACCATCAGCAGCCTAAGGCCTATCCCTGTGAGGCCAGACATGCCACCTCCCTCCGGCCCTTTCACCAACTCTGACACCAACCTTTCTTCTTGCAGCACCCACTACCTCTCTGCTGGGTTCGATAATTCACTTCAGTGGCCACACAGAACTCATAGATTATGGGTTTATTATGGAAGCACCAGGCTACAATTCAAGTTTAGGAATACGCTTAGTCTCAGCCTGCTGTCTCTCAGCCAACAGTGTCTCTCAGTTTTTCTTCCAGCACCACATTTCTTAGTCTCTCTCCCAGCAGTTCATTGTCTCTTAAGAGCACATGTCTCTCAGCAGCACATCTTTCTTAAGCAGCAGTCAGACTTCTTCTGCCTCTAGGAGGGATCCTGTTGAGCTTGGCAGAGTGGCCAAACTAACCAATCATAATATCAGAATTCCAAGCACCTGAGAGAAAGCACACTTCCCAGAACATTGCTTTGTGCCACTCTCAACAGAAACACCCCAGGTGGGTAACTTTAACAGGAGCTCCTCAGTTGCTCATGGCAAATTCCACCAAGCCATAGCAGGTAATTTACTACACTGCAGGCCACCCCATGGCTTTTCTAGCCATTATCCCTTTTATACATCAAAAATTAGCATCCCCTTCACCATCAGTTGAAGAATAACCACACCCATGAAAGTGTGTAAGCCAGCCACTTCATGCCTTTATCTTCCCCCACTTAGATAGCCAATTTCTAATTTGCCTATCCCTGTCAAACCAGTACTGTGAGGAGACAAGCATGGTCTTTTCTCTCTGAAGAATCTTCTATTCTGTTTAGAAACTTTGGGCATCTGCATCCATAAACAAGCAAAGTCCAGCCTAGTGCAAGCCATCAAATTGCAGCAGCTTAACACCAGCTCAGTGTCAAACATCTTCCTCTTCATTTGGTTGGGTTCTGGTCAGCTCAGCCCTAGCCATCCTAGCTGGGTCATGGGTACAGCTGCCAAGTTTGGGAGTCACACTCTTTCCTTCACTTCAGACCAGCCAGCACCTTCTCTCACATCTTCAGTCCTCAGGGACTATTTCAACGCCCATAGGCTCACAGCTCTTGCACTTCAGAGCAGCCAGCCCTTCCTCTCATCCCCAGCCTCTATGGCCTAGGTCAAAGAATACCAAACTCAGCCCATTTCTTCTTTGCTGCACATCCACCATTTCCACTCAGGTGGACCCAGGTGGTCATAAGCAAGCAGCATACAAGCCTACTACTGGCTGGCTTCCTTTAACTTTCAGTCCTAGAAGGGATTTCTCTCATGGACCATGACTTTCCTGCCTTGATGTACCCAAAACCTGTCTGCTTGCTCAAAATTCAAAAAGCCAGTCTTTTTTTTTTTTCCTTCCTCTTCAGGTCTTTATTGAAATGCAAATCTTCTGTTCCCTCAGTAGTATTGGGTGGGGCTCAGGTTTTCTACCTAAGCCCCCTATACTCTACACAACCAACCAACTCACTGCCTGACTCATAGTGACCTGACTCATAGTGACTCCTCCTTGGGTTTCCGAGGCATTATCTCTACAGAAGTAGTTTACCCAGTCTTCCTTCCCAGGAGTGGCTGGTGGATTTGAACTGCCAGCCTTCTGGTTAGCAGTCAAATGCCTTAGGCACTATGCCAC